AGGAAGTTAATATAGCTTGGGAAGAAGGATGTACCACTGGCAGTGGACACAAAGAATGCTAAAGTTATGGGCCACAAGGACATTTGGCAGGACTCCCAAGATAAGGAAGAAACTAATAAAACCAACTCAGTAATTGTGCTGAAATCAGCTCCAAGTAGGTAAATGGTAATTCTGGCAGGATCTGCAACCACCAGCCCAAGAAACCCACAGACCCAAAAGAAGAGAGAAAAGAGAGAAACTGAGCATGTGGACTAATTAGCATGAGAAGCAAGAGAATCATTAACCAATAGAAGATAGAATCCTAACTAATAAGGGAACTAGGTAACTTGTAGCCAATGAACACTAACTCCTTTGTTTGCTAAAATGCGTTAAAGTTTTGATAATTGGCTACGTGTTTGGAGGAGCCATCCCCACATACCCTGTGCTGAATAAAGTAATGTTGGCTCTCTAACCTATCAAACTGGTTGGAGAGTTTATTTTCCTGGTTTTGGTGTCACTGTCGAGCCTGGCCCTGAACACTTCCAGGGATGGGGCAGCCACAGCTTCTCTGGACAACCTGTGCCAGGGCCTCCCCACCCTCACAGGGAAGAATTTCTTGCGAATATCTCATCTAACCCTGCCCTCTTACCCTTTGAAGCCATTCCCCCTCGTCCTGTCACTCCAGGCCCTGATAATGATCCCCCCCATTGACCTGCAGGCCCCCTGTAAGGACTGGGGGGCCTCTCTAAGTTCTCCCCAGAGCTCTGAAGGGGCTCTGGGTGGTGAGGTGGGAGCCAGGCCTGGGACGGAGGCAGAGATGCTCATGGTTTGAGGCTGGAGGTCCTGGGTGCTGGGGCAGGACAGCACAAACCTCTGCAGATTTCAATCTCTTTATTAAGAAAAAGGCATATTACAACAATTCCTAAAGTACAGCTCCATACTCTAGTTTCTGGATGTTAACACATTTTGAAAAGCACTTGGTTAAAAAGCAAAGTCAACATGAACATCGTCCTGGCAAATAATGGTGACATGTAGCAAAATGAACATTCAAATAAAGCAGAGCAGTGTCAAAACCTTTGGCATCTGTCCCTCCACGGCGCTCCCCAGCATGAGGCACAGGCGTTTATTGTTCTCACTGAGCTTTGCAAACTCAGCCAAGGACAATATTTTTGCTCCAACGAAACTGCAGCTGCTCTGGGATCAGGGGAGCAGGTACCATGGGTGCTGCCCTCCTCCTTCCTCTGCCAGAGCCCTCCCCACGGTCCCAGCACAGCTCCGGCCAGGAAGGGGGGATGTCCCCACACTCTGAGGGTTAGACCCTCTGCACAGACTGGGGTGGCAGTGACTCTGAAACATACAGGCAGTGCTCATCCCCACAGGGCTGCAGAAAGAGTCTGCTGCTTCAGACATGCAAAGATTTGGGGTATTCCCATGGCCCAATAGTCTAAGTCCTGCAATAATTGTAATGACGGGAAAGGGGAGCTTTTTTTGGAAGTCGCAAGATCAGGGAAATCTATCAGGAAGAGCCAGGAGGCATCACCACACCCTGTCCAGGGAGGACCAGGCGCCACTCGGGTGTGGGTTGGGTGCACCTCTCGCACACTGGCAGCTTCATGCCCCCGTTCCTGCCCGAAGGGGCGAGGGGAGGGAGGGTGAGATGAAGGGATCAGATGTGGTGGCAGGACCGAGTGTCCCCCTCCAGGTCCTTCTGTCCAGAGGCACCGTCCCTTCATGTGGCTGGGACAGCAGCGTCCCTGCAGGGCAGGAGGAGAGGAGACAGAGGCAGAAACAGGGCCTGGGGAGCAAAGGGCACCTCTGACAGCGAGGGGACACGGCGCTCTGATCTTTGTGCTTTTACAGGCCGCGGTGTCTGGCAGCTCCTCCACGGCCCCTGTGCTCATCGATCCCAGGCTCCTCCTGCTCACCCAGCCTGGCACACTGGCACTGCTGATCTTATCCACAGCATGAGGCAATCCATGGGCATAAGGGAGTTCTCTCTCCTCCTGTTGCATTCCCTGTAGGACTTGGCAGCCAGGCACGGGCAGTGCAGGAGAGTGACAAGAACAGGCGTGCACCGAGGCAGCTGCGGCGTCAGTACAGTGAGACTGGCTCGTCACGGCTGCTGGGACACGGGGGCTGCTGTTCTAGGAAAAAGGCAGGTCATGGGGCTTCACTGGGGCAGCAGGAGCCAGCTCACAAGGCTGCACACAAGGACTCAGAAAGGTTCACCTAAGCCCTGTAAATGGAAGTCCCTTGTCATGCTGCTGATTTACCTTCCCAGTGGGGAGAGCTTGAGGAGAGCTTGGGAAGTGCTGGCCAGAGCTGCAGTGCTGCTGCTCCTCTGCCTTCTGGGAGCTTGTCTTAGGGAACTTGTGCACGGAGATGCACTGTGCAGAGCAGAGCACTCCCTGCACACCACCAGCTTTCCTGGGCACCCGCAGAGACCAGCCCTCAGCCCCTCCAGAGCACCCCTCAGCTGGGCCCTGAACCCGGCTTCACACAGAAAGCCTTGGGCTCTGCCTTGGGCAAAGCTTCCCCAGGCAGTGGGGCCTGGCCCCAGTGCAGACAGTCTCTGCACAGAGCCCTGCAGCAGTGGGAAGGTTTGGAGGCTGGTGGGGGTAGGAAGGATGCAGCTGGAAGCACTTAGATTAGTCCCAGCAAACACATTCAGAAAATATGGCTTTTTAGTTAACAGGGTCAAGAGGGAGAACTTCCTGACTGATCTGTACGGGGTTGAAATAAGCCCAGGGGAGTGTGCACCCCTGGCCAGAACCGCCTCTGCTGCAGCAAGTGCAGCGGGCACATCTCACCCACCCACCACCCACCCCACACCTGCCACAAGGTGCATTTGCAACATCACTTTCTTAGACAGCATTAGGAATAATAATAATAATAATAATAGGAATGAAAAGAGAGATTAGCAAACCCAACACATCAAACCCATGAGCCTTGGCAGAGCTGCAGAACAAAAGGGGGAGCAGAGGAGAGGAGCCCGGCTGTTAGTCAGTAGACGGCTCTCAGCACGTGATGGTTTTACACACAAGACGTTTAACAACCGAGCGTTATTGCTATGCTTCCATTTCCAGTCTAATCATTAAGCTTTACAAGTCAACATCAAACACTGCCTGTTCCATACAGAGCACGTAGGTGTTGGCGGTTGCACTCCTTGGTCTGTGCTCTCGGGTGTGTGGCGCAGGTCAAAGCTCTGTGCACCCTCTGGATTCCCAAGGAGTCCAGAGCACAGGCTAAATGCACCCACAGATCCCTGTCACACCTTACAGGCCGAGGGCTCACTTACAGTGTGAGTGGGGGTGGGTCTGTTGGAGCCCCCGGCACAAGGAGGGGAGGGCAGGCCCTGCCTGTGCTCCAGCAGCTCCTGGGCTTGCAGTATCTCCAGCAGCCTTCTCAGTAAAAAATAGGAACACTGTCTTTTTGATCTTTTTTTTTTTTCATGATCTCTTTGATCATTTTATATAAATACAAAGATTAAAATAATTTATCTCAACATCATTTCTATTACAATCATACAGTGTATTCTCTTCAAAACAAGTGCCTGTATGTGTGTGTGTATATATATATATATATATATAAGTGTATATATAGTATCTCTAGAGCTATCCTCTCCCCCAGAAAAGCAGCAGTGACTGAAGCAGGTACAGCACGCAGGAGCTGATCCTTCCTGCTCTGAGGCAAATGTACCCAGGGAAAAGCACAGGCCTCACCCTGACAACTCATCTCCAAGCACATTACATTGGCACGAAGGGGGAACTGGGGTGCTCCCTCTCCATCCCCTTGGGAAACACTCCCCTTGCTGCAGGTGGCTCTGCCTGCCCAGCCCTGGGCACTGGGGCTCCGGGCCTGCCCAGCTGCCCACCCACACTGGGAACACTGGGAGGAGGGAATGGGAATGGGATCAACTCCTTGAGCAAGCTGCTAATTAGTGGTGGAGAGGAAAGGATCCTGCAGCTCAGACAGGGTTGCTTCATTTACATACTAGGCACTATGGATGATGATTGTTAGGAAGGTATTTACATAGAAGAAGGATCATACCTCTCCCTCCCCTTTTCAATGCTCATGAACTCCATGATCTCATCAAGGAGTTTGTAATAAAAATGCATCATCTTGTGTTTATCGGGATTGTCTAGGAAGGACGGGAGAAGCAGCTGTGTACACCACAGCTGCAGGAACAGCTGAGCACGCAGGGACACGCACTGCCCTCTTTCACCTTAACAGAGAGACAAATCCTCAGCAGAACCTCTCAGAACCTGAGAGAAACAGCAATTTCCAGAGGCCAAGGGCACCTCGTGGGAATGGCATCCCTGGAACCACGACGCTGCAGCCCTGGGGCTGCTCCTGCAGTGCCTGACAAACCCCTCTCGCTGCCCCTGTGGGTGGGTGACAGCAGATTTCCTGCTGGAGCTTTTGTGCCCCAGGAGCTGCACACCTTGGCCGGCCTTCAGCCAGGGCAGCTGCTGCCTGGGTCCTGCAAGGAGGGTCCTGTCCAGCACGGCTTTGCTGTGCTTCTTCCCAAACCCAGGGATGTGTTAGGGACCATGGGAGCAGCTGGGGAGTGTGGGGTCCAAGCCCTCAGGGGTGCCCTGGGGGAGCAAGAGGGGTCTTGCCCTCCAAAGCCTGACTATTCACATCACAGCCAAAGAAAATGTACAAAAGCTGCTAATTTCTGCCCTGCTAGTGCAGCTCACATGCTTCAGGGTTCATTTTTACCAAAGAGCTGGCCTGGGCACTGCTGCTGCAAATCTCATAAAAGCATTTTAATAGAGTATATAAATATTGAACTACAAAAATAGACAGCTCTGACTGTACGGGCACACTGTGGCTGAGCGGGGGCAGGCCAAGCCTCACTAGTCTATGATGGGGACATCTTTGAAGAGGTTTCAGACTGAACTGGAAGGAAATGGGGTCTGATCACCCCCTGCAGCTCCCTCCTGCCTGTGCCAGCCGTGGAGGCAGCGAGGGTCCCGTGGGCACTGGCTGTGGGAAGGGGTCGGGTCTCGGCTGGGTGTCACTGCCCCAGCACAGCCGGGCCAGCCAGGGCTGGCAGCTCAAACCTGCCCCTTGGGTTGCCCCGAGCAGCACAGGCTCCACGGGCGCCTGAGCAGAGAGACCTTTGCCCTGCCTGGCCGCCGGAGCCCTCCCCTCCTGAGGGTGTTTCACAACACCCACAAACAGATTGTAAAGCTGACGGTTTTTGTTGGAGATCGGACAAGGCTGCCCCAGCAGGGTGAAGGCAGCTGCCTATGGCTGCTGTGCTGGGAGGGACAGGAGGACCGGGGGGCTGCTCAGCCCTTGGTGGCAAACCCAGAGCTGGCTGTTAGAAGTGACTAAGAACCGAAATGCTGGTGCCGAGAGCCCCGTGCAGGGGCACAGGGAACAGCCCTGCTCCAGCAGCACATGGAGCCCGGCTGTGGCAGGCGAGGAGCCACGGGGGGACCGGTGGGACGGGCGCTCCCAGCTCTTGTGCAGCCACCTTGTCTGAGTCCTGTGTGTGAATGTAATGTGGGGGAAATCCGTGTGGAGACACGGTTTGGAGACAGCCAAACTGCTGCACAGGAGAGTGCGGGGTGGGACCTGGCCGGCACGGCAGCACTGTCCCTGTGGAAGGGGATCCTTCTGTCCCCCACAGGATGGACTGTTGTTCAGCTGCCTGCATCCTGGAGAACCTTCCTGGGGATGTCCTGGGCCCTCTCCAGGCCAGCCCAGTGTTGGTGATGCCCGGGGTCGGAGGGCTGGCTGAGCTCATCCCACTGTGCCAAGCCACACGCTGCACAGCCCGTGGCTGCTGCACACACACCCCCTGGCACCCCTGGCTGGACAAAACACATCTGGTGCCCACTCCGAGGGCAGCAGCAGCAGGAAGATCTCCTCATTGCAAAAATGCTTGCTTGCTTCTTTCTTTCTCTTTCTTTTTTTTTCTTTCTTTCTTTTTCTTTCTTTCTTCTCTCTCTCTCTCTTTCTCCTTTTCTTTCTCTCTCCTTTCCTTGGAAGCTCTGGACAGGCGCTGGACCGTGTCCCCTCCACAGCCCAGGTGGTTGGTGGGTGCTCCCCTGTCCCGCAGCTCTGCCGGTGCCGCCCTCGGCTCAGACCCTTGGGGCAGAGGAGTCCCCCCGGCTGCCCGCGGGTGGGAGGTTCATGCGGGGCGGCCGCTTTCTGCTGCCCCGAGGGGACGGGTGAAAAGAACCTCGGCCGGCGCCCGCCCCGGTGCTGCTGCTCAGGCCTTCCCGGCCACGCTGTCCCCTGTTCTTGGGCCTATTCCTGGGCCCGGGGGGCACCGTGGGCACCGTGGGCACCGTGGGCCCCCTGCCTCTTCGCGGGCTCGCCCTTGGCCGGCCTGGCCCTGCCCGCCGGGTCCTGCGGGTCCTGCCGGGGCGGGCGCTGCCCGCGGGCGCTGCCGGCCGGGCCGCGGGGCTGGGCCGGGGGCTCGGGGGGCTCCGGCGACGGGCGCTGCGGGGCGCGGGGCCTGGGTGTGTAGAGGAAAAGGGCCGGGTCGGGCATGGGGTCGTGCTCCTCCGGCACCGGGTCCCTGGGGCGGGCACCGTCCCCGGGCGGGCGCCGGGCGGGCCCCGCTCTGTGGGCGCGGCGGCGGGGCCGGGGCTCGGCCGGGGGCTGCTCGGGGGGCCGCCCGCCCGCCCGGGGCCCCGGCAGCCGCTGTGCCGTGGCGTGCAGCTGCAGGGACAGGTAGGCGGCCGCCTCCGTCTGCTTCTGCAGCTCCGTGTCGAGGATGGTGACGCGGTGGCTCCGGCGCTTCAGCTCCTCCAGGAACCGGCGCTCCTTGCTGCGGAGGCTGGAGCGCAGCGCGGCCACCAGCGTCTCCTTGTGCTGCAGCTCCTTGCGCAGCTCCAGGTTGTCCTTCTCCTTCTCCTGCAGCTGGGCCTCCATCGCCCGGCACTTCTCCTCCAGCTCCCGGTCCAGGACATCTGCGGGTCAAAGCACAGAGAGGGGTGGGGAGAGGCGGCAGTGGCTCGGTGCAGCTCTCCTGCCGGGTGTGTGCTCCCAGCGTGGATGTGGCCGCTGACCACTCCATGGCACCAGCATGTGCCACTGGTGCCATTGAGGCCGTGCGGGTTCTTCTTGGAGCTGGGGCTCCAAAACTTCCCACGAGCTGCCCGAGCGTGAGCTTGCTGCCAGCACAGGCACAGGAACCCTGTCAGCCCTGAGCCGCTGGCGCAGTGCCACGTGTAACACCCAAATGTGGGGTGACAGCAAAGTGGCAGTTTCAGTGGAGGACGTCATTGCCATGGAACCTACCACCTCTACCTTTAAAACCAGAGTTTTAAAATTTCCCTAAGTATCTGGGGTTTCACCCTAGAAGTGACTTTGAGTGTGTGCAGAGGACATGGGGGAATACATGGGCTGGGAGAGAAAAGGAAATGGTTCAGCTCAACTTTGGCCTCAAGCCCTGGGACTCTGCAGCCTGGTTGACAAGGATGGAGATGTTAATCCAAGATTACGGAGGAGCTGGGCTGTGCTCACCAGAGAAGGAGCTGATATGCCAGGAGGGAGGACTGGGCTCTGGGCAGCCCCATCCTGGCGCAGGATGGCCAGGCAGCCAGGGGGATTGGCGCCTTGGGTGGAAGGGCTGAGCTCAGCGGGCAGCAGGAGGGCTGGGCTGGGCTCCTGCCCCCAGCAGCCCCAGCCACCCACTCGGGCACCCAGCCCTTGGCAGGGCGCTGGCTGGCACCCACCCACGCTCCCCGGCCTGCCCAGGCCTGTCCCATCCTCTGCAATACTCTGCTTTTTACTACACGATTGGCAGTCCCTTCCAGCCTCAGCGCCTCAGTGCTGCTGCAGAGGGAAAATGCTTTATAATGAGGTCCCAGGGAGGCAGTTGCAGGCAGTAATTATTCCATGAATGGCATTAGAAGAGCAATCATGTGATGGCACGGTAAAGGAGGTGCTGCCCCATAAACGTGGCAAAATGATCGTGCTCTTTGTCGGCTCTAAAAGGCTAAAGGACGGGCAGGGACCATGGGTGGCACTCGCTGCATTGTGGCTGATGACACCCTGGTGGCTCCTGCTGGGCTGGGTGCCAGACCCTGCACCATCAGAGAGCCCACTGGTGCAGGGAAGGGCCCCTGGCCCCACAGGAGGGGCTGGGAGAGCAGAATCCCCCTGGAGCCAGCCATGGCACTGTGTGAGGGTGCCAAGGGCAAGGACCCCAACAGCCCCAGTGAAAGCAGCCCACACCCACCCTGGCACGGCCAGCCCTGGTGCTGAGGACAGGGTGCAGGCTGGGGCTTAGTGCCAGGGACTGTGCCCAGGCAGCACCAGGGAGGAGTTCCAGCTTCATCCCTGGGATGGAGGAGGGAGAGGAACCAGGCTGCTCACAGAGCATCCGCTGCCAGCTGTGGGGTTCCTGGGCAACACCAGCACTTATTGGGCTGCCAGCAGCCTGTGAACTGTGTGCTGCCCTCCCAGCCCTGCCCTCAGCCCCTCTGTCCCCTCAGCCAAGGTCCATGTCCCCTCCCTGGGCAGCCCCAATGGGTCCCCTCTGGCCCAGGCTTTTCAGGTGGCCCCCACACCCCCACACACTCCCCCTTGTGCCCAAAGCTGTGCTCTCACCTTGCTGACGGGCCTCCAGCTCTTTCATTTCCAGGTCATGGGTGAGCTCTGGAAGAGAAATGGAACAGGACTGAGGAGGGGCATCCCACCCATCCTGCACTCCCCGTGTCTTCCTCTGCTCCCTCCGGGGCTCTGGACATCGCTGAGGCTGCAGCGCTGCCTCTGCCCGGCCCATGTGGGAGCGTGGCCATCAGGCTGAGCTAAAAATAGACAATTCTGGCAATTTATGTTATTAAGCAGCCTGGTGGCCAAGGCAGCATCCTTGGGTCCTATCCCACAGCGGAGCGGGAGGCTCCATTCCTCTGGCAATGCCTTTCCTTTCTCTAAGAGAGCTGCTAAACCATTTTCAGTGCTTTAAATCAGGGCAAAGAGCAGAGCAATGGACTGAAAATAGATCAAAGTGTAAGTTGCCACCCGAAGCATTTCATAATTTCCTGCTCCAGGCTGGTGGCTGCGTGTGACGCAGGCGGGACTGCCTCGTCCCGGCACAGTGTGCCTGCAGGAGGATGCTGCCCTGCTCCAGTGCAACGTGGAGCTCCCAAATCCCTTCCAGATCCCACCAGCTGCAGCCCCTTCCTGCCTGCTCAGCCCTGACGTGCTGCCTGCTCTCTGCCTGCTTTCTGCTTAGTCCTGGGCTACAATACCAGCTCACAAAGGGCAGCTCAGGGACCTTCTGGAGTTCACTTTACCCTGCACACTCTTACAGACAGTCCCTTTTGAATTAATTATCACAGCCCACCCAACCACCAGCAGCCCCGAGCAGAGGAGGAGAGGGGCAGCAGCAGCAGCATTCAGCTGTTCGAGGGCTTTTTTCCCCCTGAAAATGAGTTCAAATGGTTAATCTTTGCCCTACATTTTTCTTTTAATCTGCTTTCATGTTGACTCTAATCCTCATCACTGCCATCCTCCTGAAATGGAACACTTGGCTCAGGCTGCTCTGCCTGTCTGTCTTGGAAAACAAATCTGTAGTGAGCAGGCAGAAGTACCTGAGAACATAATGCAGTTTCTGGAAAGCGTTCAGTGCTCCCGACTGCCCCAGTGGGAATCAATGGCCATTGTGCTGCTTTTCTGAAGCTAAAATAATAAGTCTGGAATCTCAGATATATTCCAAATGAAAACCAAAGCAGTTGCCTATTTCTAAAGACACCGCCCTGCTGAGCAAGTGCAGGGATGACACACACACAGCCTGGGGTCTGAGCTTCTGTGCTGGAGCCATGGGGGCTGGTAGGGACCTGCCCCAGTACTGTCCCCACAACCCCCGAGGGGCAGATTAGAACCAGCTCTGTGGGAGGGAGAGCCCTTCCCACAGGGATGCCTCGGAGAGACCAAGGGAAGAGAGGAAAAGTCAGAAGCAACAGTGCCAGGGCAGCAGACACGGCTCTGCAGGGCCCCAGTGAGGGAGAACTGACTGACTGCCTCCACTCTGCTCCTGCAAACAGCCCCCCTAGATAATGGCACTCAAATGTCAGCAAAGTCACCTTAAAACTACCCAGGGGTTGCCCCCATCACTCTTGGCAGAACAGGCACTGCAGAACCACACACCTCAGCTGCAGGACAGGACCTCTCCAGTCAGACAGGGCTGTCCATGGGTCACTGATAACCAATTGTGCAGAGGGCTCATTTCATCCCCTGGGGACAGACCCCCCAGCCTGATTCAGGCAGGAAACCCCCACTGTCTTGCTTGTCTGGAGAGGCCATAGATGAAGCCATTAAAACAATGAAACAGAACAGCAAAAGCTCAGAAAGGGTGGGGAAAACAGCCAGTTTTATCAGTGCAGACATGCCTTTGTTTCCCAGGAATCCGTGAGGACGAGAGGCTGGAAGACAAGGCGTAATTAACTACGGCTGAATTATTGATGAGAGCAGTGGCACAAGTTGGAATGAGTTTGAGTGGTGGCAGGAGGCAGGGCAGCTGTCACTCCTGTGGGGATGGCTGGAGGGGACAGTGACACTGCTGCAGTGGGGCCGTGGGTGGGGGGCTGGCAGCTGTGCACCCCACAGCCACAGCCAGGCAGAGCCCCGAGCCCCGGGCTGCAGTTTGGTGCTTGCCTTCCCTGCATCCTGCCCTGTGTGAGCACCCCGGGGTGCCGGCAGGAGCTTTCCTGCCCGAGGTGCTCCGTGAGCTCCCACACACCGTGGCCATCCCAGCGCTCACCTGAGCAGTGCTTCTGCAAGCGCAGGATCTCCAGGTGCAGGTCATGAAGCAGCTCCATCTGCTCCTTCTTTAGGAAGGCGATGTGCCGCTGCACGCTCTGGATCTGGTGCTCCAGGGACACCGTCTCCATCGCAACCAGATTCACGGTCCAGGCCTGTGGGGAGTGGAGATGCTGGTGATGGAACGTGCAGCAGCACACGGGGCTTGTGAGCCCCAGAGCCCTTGTGAGGGCCAGAGCCTGGGGGTGCAGGGCGGTGCCTGCTCTCCTCTACCCTTTCCACAGGGATGTGGCTGTGGGTGAAGCAGCCCTGCTTAGCCAATCCCCAGGGAATGGCCCCAGCCCTCTCATCACCCGGTGCCTGCAGCCAGGTCCTGCCTGCTCAGAGACTGCAAGGGCAGAAAATGCTGTTGCGTGGACCCCGGCATCGCAGCAGCCATTTCTGCTCTGAATTTGGCCCAGGAAATATTTTATCACCGAGCAGGATGCATCTGGGACAGGATTGCTCCCCACCGTCCCCAGGTGGGAGTTGCACCAGAGACGAGTTTGGCTCTCTCTTGACAAGCCACACATTAGGCAGCAGTGACTGCAGCAGGGATCCAGCACATGAACAATACAATCTGCTCCGTCTAACCCGATCAGGGCTGTGTGGCGAGAGGAGTCATGTTGTCTTCCAGGAGAAGAAACGTCTTCCCTGGTAATTTGCCTGGCAGACGAGAGCTGCTGGCGCCTGAGCTGGGCTGGGGGTCCAGCACCACGTGCCACCAATGGCTTCGGCAAAGCAGCTGCGTGAGCCACCCACCTGTGCTGCTGCACAGAGAGATAAAAATAACCCCCCAAAGAACCCTTAATCCTGGGAAATAACATTCAGTGGTGTGTGGAATCTGTCCTTGCTCCCCACACCCAGCCCAGGAAGGAGGGAGGCTGCAGCAACGTAAGGTAACCTGGCAGTGCTGGGTCAGTGGCTGGACTCGGAACATCTGAGAAGTTCTTCCAACCTAAATGATTCTGTGGGGAGCTTGTGCCGCAAGCCTGAGGGACAGTGTGCACCATCCTGTCACTGGGAAGCTGCTTCCATTCCCTCCTTCATCCACATCTGACTCCAGCTGTCTTTCTACAGAAACTCCTGAACCAATCGAGCACTGGGGCTCACGGTTCCAGCACACCCCATGGTCACATAGGGCATTTTGAGATCATTCCTGCAACCACAATCAAATCAAACTGCATTTAAGCTCAATCCCACAGTAAGCACAGACCCACCTGTGCCAGGGGCTGGGGTTGGCCCCTTGGAGGGCTGTATGTCCTGGTGCCAGGGCAAAAATTATGAGAGTTAAGTGGCATCTGCAAGAGCCCAGGGCTGCAAACCACACCATGGATACACCCTCCTGCCAGCCCTGGCTGCGATGGGCTGGGCTCTGGAGCAGCTTCTTATGGGAGTTGTGGTACCTCATCTCGAGAAACATCAGAAAGTAGGTTGGCCGAAGCCCGGGGGACACACGGTGCTATTTTCAAGCACTTTGTTCTGTTTAGTTGAAATGTCTTCAGTAGAATTGGCTGCAAATTTTCCATTGAACTTTCCCTTCTCCCTCTAAGTAGGAAATTACTCTTTTTTTTAACCAATGAAAATGTTTTCCTTTAAAAATAAATGGTTGATAAATATCAAGCTCTAAAGGAAGAAAAAATTTGTTTTCAGAGAAAAATCTGGAATTGAGATCTGTTTATCGTCTCTGACTTGGGAGTTGAAGAGTCTTCATAATTTACTTGTGTATGGGATCAAAAGAAGTCTGTCTCCAAAATTGCTGTGGGAAATCTTTAGTGGTTTGAATCAGCTTTGCCTGTCCGACATGACTTTCACTGTTGCTCTTGAGAAACAGCTCTCGGTCTGTGGCAGGAACATCTGGTGCCTCATGTTGAGGAGAGAGCACCTGGTTTTGTCTAGCCATGAACCTCCCACCAGCACTAAGGGAGGCAGGGGCAGGACACAGGGACAGGACACAGGGGCAGACAGGGCAAGACACAGAGACAGGCAGGGCAGGAGCTGCCTTCACTGGAAGTGGGGACAGTGCTGGAAACAGTCGTGCTGCTGCCCAAAAGCAGAGATGGGAAGAGCTCTCCTGGGGCTCTGGGGACCTGAGGCTGCTGCTGTTCACCACTTGCAGCCCCGTGGGTGACAGGAGGTCTGTGCTGTCCCCTCTGCAGGTCACACAGCTCTGCCTCACAGGCGCTGATGCAAGAGCCAGAGCTGTTAACGAAGCTGCAATCTGGTCCTGAGGTTTCAGCACCATCAGTGAGGCTCTGGAGTGTCCCTGATGTCAACAGGGCAGTGGATAAACACTTGCCTGGCCAAGGCAATGTCCACCCGTTACCCCAAAGGGTTTCAGAACCAAACTCTCAGCAGCTGGTACCTTCCCTCCATGGCTTCTGAAGTCAAGTGGGCATTGCAGCAGCATCCTGAGCCTTTAGTTTGATGCATGCCTTTGGTCATGTCACACAGCACGGTCCTTGGGCAGTGTTGGGAGTCAATAGGGATTAGCTGCTGTTGGCTGATTTAGCACAGCTCCCATCTAGTGATGCCAAAGCTGCCCATGCCAGGGGCTTCAGAGCACCCACAGGGGTGATGACCATAAGTCTGTGCAGTGAACTGAGGCAGGAACCTTCACCCTGTGCCACAGACATGAGACCCGAAGCACTAGTGACTCGAGCTGTCCCTCCCACCAGCTCCCCCTGCCCGGCTGGATGAGTGTGGCTCCCAAAAGGATTGTTGTACTGCAGCAGGTAGGGATGAGGTTGGATGCTCCTGCTCTGATCCCTGCCTTGCTGCTTACTTCTCTTTTCCAGACTAGTTCTAACTTGCCAAGGCAACTGGTGGTGGAAGCCCTCAAAGTGACCGTGTACTCTGTGGCTTTGAGGAGTTAAATATGGGGTTACAAACCTAGAAAACAACGTCATTCATAATAAAAGCCAAGGGTAAGTGATAGTCCTCTTTAGCTTGAAGGATACTCTGTGCCCTTGTGCTTCTGAGAGTGGTACATGTGTACACACAGAAGGAAAGGAGGCAGCAATCAGCTGAGAGGTGGGGTTTGCCCCTGTTCAAAGTTGACACCTACAGCCTGAGCTGGCCCCTGCTCAGCTCTGGATGAACAGCTCTCTCCAGTTTTGGAGACTAGACATCCAGGGGCCTTTGATCCATCACTGAGAGCTTTCCAGTAACAGGGTTCCCCTGCTGACCATCTAAGACTTTGAGCACGGGACTGCAGAGCCAGTGCTGGGCTCAGCCCCCTGCATTCCCCACACGGGGTGACCATGGGGGCACAGTCTGGACTGCTGAGCCTTCCTGTGGGCCTGCCCCTGCCTCTAAACCACATTTTTTCCCCACTCCTTGTCCTTTCACCATGCAACCACAACCTCTGGGACAAGCACATTGGGAGTCCTGATCTCAGCTGGTTGTTTCAAAGCACTGCTGGAAAACCCCAGTGAGATTTGCACTTTCATCCCAATTTATCAAATTCTTATTTCACAAACCAAAACGACTGAAGCAGCCTCTTGAAGTAGCTACAATGACTAAATCAGTTGCAAGAGCTGATTTCCTTTGCCCAGGTTGATTTGCTTTGGTTGAGAATTTGCTTCCAGGGCAAAACTCTACTGAGGTCTGTTGATCAATGCAAATCAGAATCCCAAAACTTTGACCAAGAAAAACCCTCCATCTCAATGATGCATCTGAAAGGCAGATGCAGTGTTGCATGTCCATGTACCCCTGCACACACACCATCACAGCAAGGTCCGGCCCTTATCCGTGTGATCATTATTCCCCATCAATGGCAAAGTAGCTGGGAGTCAGAGGGCACAAATGAGGTTTGCAGGAACAGGTCGATAATTTATCCTGCTGTGCTTGCCAGCAACCCCCTCTCCATCACGTTAAAACATATACAGGAATAAACACTGGTACACGTTAGAAATCCATAGTGCTTAGTATTTACAGCTCAAAGAATACAAAGAAAAACTTAGCAGCAATGCCATGAAGCCAGTGTATCTTTAATGTACGGAAATCAGACAGCAGGAAGCTCAGAAACTTGCAGAAGGTCACAGAGGCAGTGGCAATGCCAGGAATAGAAACCAGAGGTGAAATCCCGGCCTTGGAAAAGTCAGTGGGAAACCTTCCCTGATCTCAGCAGAGGCAGAATTACACTCGGAGTGCTGTTTGCTATTCATTATCTGTCAGTATCTATTTACAGATAAAATCAATACAGACGCTGATTATAAATTATCGTGTTTTCTCTCAATTCTCCGAGCACAGCTGCCTGAGGAACAGCCCCGGCCAGGCTCGTCAGGGGGCTGCGGATGCTGAAGGCAAGGCCGTGCTTTCTCCTCCCGTCTCCGGGGGAATTCGCTACGGATGGAGCTCTGCGCCGGGAGCCGAACCGGGCCCGTCCCCGCCGCTCGGGGCCGATCCTCCTGCCCGGGGGCTCCCGCGGTGCCGCCCAAAGCGCTGCCCGGGGCCGGCGCTGAGCCCGCAGCGGGAGCGGAGCCCGGCGGGGCTCGGGGGGGACAGCGGGGACGGAACCCCGGCGCTACCGGGGGGAGCGACTCCGCCGCCGGGGTCGCGCACCGGGAGAAGCAACTTCTAGAACCGGCACGGCGGGGCTGCGGGGAACTTCTGCGGGGCCGCCCCCGCAGCCCGGGGAACCCGCCCGCTCCCGCAGCCCGGCCCCGCGCCCCCGGCCCGGCCCCGCCGCGCCCCCGGCCCCGCGCCCGGTCCTTACCTGTGGGGAGCGGCGGGGCCCGGCGGGGCGCCCGCT